ACCATGTGCTCAGGAGAGTCTCAAACTCCTGAACTCAAACAATCCACCTGCCTTGGCCTCCCAAAGTAGTGGCATTATAGGCATGAGCCACCGCGCCTGGGCAAAAAGTGCTCATTTTCCTAGCAGCAAAAGAAGAAAAGAACACATCAGTTCCACAGCAATTGAAGTGGCCACTTTTCCAAGTCAAAAGTCCTGGCTGGATCAGCACCTCTGTGTATCCCTACAGTGTCCGTGGCCGTTTTCTTCAGGGCCCACATGGTATGCTGCAACAGGGTCAGGGGGCGGGTGCACTCTGTTCTGCTGTGCAGGTGGAGCAGGGAGACTGTGACCTGCCCAGGATCACTGTGGCTCCGGAGTGCAGCCAAGGCCAAAGCTCAGGGTTCACCTCCACCATCCGCTGTTGTAGCTAACACTGTACCACTGCAAACTCTCCTGTGTGTCCAAAGCCACCAACGTAAGGTCTGTTGTGGATTTAGCTGCTCCGAGTCTCTGCTAAAAGGAGCAGCTGATGAATTCACCCTTTCTTTTTACTTCAGCATCTTCACTGCATGTTTCAAATCATGAGAGCCTGATAGGCTGACTTTTGTTTGGAGAACGTGCCTTTTTCTGTTATTGTTATTAACACAGTCATTCTCTGTTGCCCAGGCTGGAGTGCAGTGGCGTAATCTCGACTCACTGCAACCTCCACCTCCCGGGTTCAAGTGATTCTCCTGCCTCAGCCACCCAGGTAGCTGAGATTACAGATGCCCGCCACCATGCCTGGCTAATTTTTGTGTTATCAGTAGAGACGAGGTTTCACTATGTTAGCCAGGCTGGTCTTGAACTCCTGACCTCAGGTGATCCACCCACCTCAGCCTCTCAAAGCACTGGGATTACAGGCATGAACCACTACACCCAGCCTTTTTAAATTTTTTAATCTACTGCTTATACGCTGTTCTTATACCTTTTTAAAAAGTGGTGGAGCTTATAGTAATGGGTGAGGATTACTGCCACAGGAGCAACTTTTAAAAGCATTATCTTGTGATTTGGAATACACAGAAAATGAAGGGGAAAGGTAAACATCTGGCTTTCACAGGTATGAACTCAGAAAATCAAGTCAATTCACGTCCTCACCTTAGAAGCAATGGAAGCAAAGGGAAGTTTAGAGCTCTTTTTAGAGGCAGATAATATTATGAGGTCAAAATGGAATGATAAATGGAAAAATGATAAAAGAATGGACCATTCTAGAATAATACTTTGTTGTGGGGGATGTGATCCTCCCAGACAACACAAGTGGGACATGGTTCCTAATTAGTCCTCCTTTTCCCTCTGCATTTTTTTTTTCGACAGGGTCTCACTCTATAGCCCAAGCTGGAGTGCAGCAGCATGATCATAGCTCACTGCAGCCTCGAACTCCTGACCTAAAATGATCCTCTCCCCTCAGCCTCCCAAGTAGCCAGGATTACAGGCATGCTCCACCACAGCAAGCTAAATCTTTGTTTTTCAACAACTTTTAAGTTCTGGGGTACATGTGCAGGACCTGCAGGTTTGCTGTATGGGTAAATGTTTGGCATGGAGATTTGCTGCACAAATCAAATCATCACCGAGGTATAAGCCAAGCATTCATTAGCTATTCTCCGCCCCCGCCCCTTGTTCCCTTGACAGATCCCAGAGCTGTTTGCCCCCATGTGTCTATGTGTTCTCATCATTCAGTTCCCACTGACCAAAGTGTGGAGAAAAAGGAATGCTTTCACACTATTGATAGGAATGTAAATTACTTCAACCATGTGGAAGACAGTGTGGCGATTCCTCAAAGATCTAGAAGCAGAAATACCATTTGACCCAGCAATTCCATTACTGGGTTTATACCCCAAAAAGAGAAATCATTCTATTATAAAGATACATGAATGTGTATGTCCCTTTTTTTTTTCTTTTAAGAGATAGAGCCTCTCTCTGTTGTCTAGGGTGGTCTTGAACACCTGCCCTCAAGCAATTGTCTTCCCTGGGCCTCCCAAAATGTTGGGATTACAGGCATGAGCCACTGAGCCCAGTCTTCCTCTACAATTTCTAACTTAGTATTGTGTCCCATAGTAACATAGTTGACATTATGATCACATATGTGTATTTATATATTGCTGACCTACACGGAAGTTTCAGAAAAAAAGCTTAGCCTTTCTCTGCAATGCATTCTGATATTTAACATTTTTTGTACTACTAAAAAAATCCTGGCTGGACGTGGTGGCTCATGCCTGTAATTGAACACTTTGGGAGCCTGAGGCAGGCAGAACACCTGAGGTCAAAAGTTCGAGACAAGCCTGGTTAACATGGCGAAACCTGTGTCTACTAAAAACACACAAATCAGCTGGGCATGGTGGGTGCCTGTAATCCCAGCTACTCCGGAGGCTGAGGGAGGAGAATCACTTGAACCCAGGAGGCGGAGGTTGCAGTGAGTGGAGATCGCACCACTGCACTCCAGCCTGGGCAACAGAGTAAGACTCCATCTCAGAATAATAGTAATAATTATCGTCATCATCATCATCCTGTTTGCAACCCCATACTAAATTTCCTTGACACAACAATATGAAAATCACTATTTTAAAATAAACTGAAATTGGATTTTTTTTTTTTTGAGACAGGGTCTCACTGTCACCCCAGCTGGAGTGCACTGGTGCAATCACGGCTCATTGCCATCTTGATCTCCCAGACTCAAGTGACACTCCTGCCTCAGCCTCCCAAAGCACTGGGCGCCATGCTCAGTTTAAAATGGGAATTTTGAGGATATAGCCAAGCTCTGTCAACAGAGTGTAGGAGGAAAGATAGCTGAACTTGGAATTAGGAAAACTGAGGCCAAGTCTAGGCTCTGACATTAAAGGTAAAAACCAGCACAAATCTTACTACCTCTTGCCCTCCATCTCCCCATCTATCCAGTGGCAACCTCTCTATGCCTCACAGAATGCTAGAAGAAAAATTAAATCATTTTCCAAATGTAAAAATTATTTTAAAAGATTGCATAAGTAATTCAATTATCATAGTCCTGGTCATAAATGGCAAGTGAGATGATGCCCTCAGGAAAAGCAAACAGCCTTTACACTTGTTCTCAGTGGTGAGGCGTGACTCATACGCTTCCTTCTGTAAGATTGCCTTCCCTAACTTCTGGATTCTTGCCTGTACCTGACACTTCTATCTTTCCACCCTTATCCTTCTTCAAGTAGGCTATAGTTGCTTGTTTATTCAATTCCTTCAGCATCTTCCTTGAGTGCTATGTATCAGGTGCTATGCTAGGCACTTAAGACAAAGCAGTGAACCAAGCCACCTGCTCTGCCTTCCTAGGCTTGTGCTTTAATAGGGCATGTATTATGTAAGTTTTTTTCTGCTTGACCTTCACAACTAAATCGATCTGGACAGCATTATTAGAACCATAGAAACAAAGAGATAGATAATCCGGCAGGCTTTTAGCAGCCTGGGGATCATCATGGCATAGGCCTAGGTCTCAGATGCATGGAGAAGATGATGACCTGGATGTAGTGAACAAATCCATGGTCGGCAAAGATGGAGAGGATCCTCTGGATGTCTCCATCATGGTCAGCAGATGCCACCCCAGCAAGACCACTCTTCAGAAGATGACCAAGCCTCAGTCATTACCCGTCCAGGACAGCCATCCTCTGAGATCGCGAACAACAAAGAAATCGCCAGTAAACTTAGCAGCATTCCAGGAAGAAGAAACAGCCCTCTTTGCTGGGCTAAGGAAGCAGGTGAAGTCACTCTAATTTGCCTTTGGCAAAATTTTCACATCGTCAGCATTACTCACGATTGCGGTAATCCTGGTTTCAAAATCTGATTGCTCTGACCTCTCCACTGCTCGATCAAGGGCTTTGTTGACATAAACTGCGTTTACCCTGTAAAACTTAACAGAGGAATTATGCAGCTGTCTGGGGTCACCTTGGGAAAGAGTAGGGTGAGTGGCAAGCCGCAATGATGTCACCCAGTAGGTCCTTCCTACCTTCCAACCCCTTCCTACCTTCCCCACCCACTGGATTCCTGGAATTCCACCCAGGTGACTTGCTATTCTCAAATGAGAATGCTTTTCCCGCTCTCCTGCTTTCAAACTGTAATTGACCCTGAAAGCTCTATTTATGAAACCATAATCTTAAGTATGAATGTGTTTATAAATACACATTTTTTCCCCTCACTGTGGTTGCCCTTAGGTTAATACCAGCAGCTGAGGGGGCCTACAGAATGAGGGAGAGTGGAGTGGGTGAAAGGTTCCTGATGAGAGTAAGGAGACCTGGATTCAGAGCTTGAACGTGTGGTTTGAAGCCAGTGTTTGGGCATCTTGGCTCTTCCATATGCTCCTCTGAGAATGTGGGAAAATATCTGTTTTATAGTTATTATGTAGATTTAAGGAGACAGTATGCAGAAAAGCATCATACAGCAAATTAGTTTTCTTCCTATAAATTATCTGAGAGAAATTAACCCCATGCAGGACCCTCAAAAATCTCTAAGAGTTACAACAAGGTAAAGCTTCAGCTAAAATGTGGAGGAATTAGTGAATTTTCCATGCACATGATAATTCACATGAGAAGGCAAGATGTTTTCAAATATAGCCACCATGAAATGGTTGTTGGGTTTGTTTTGTGTTTATTGTTCCTGTGCAGTGATAAATGAGATCCTCTATTGGGCTTTATTTCTAAAGCTTGAATTTCAAGCCATTTCCTCACTTGAGGTCAGGAGTTCAAGACCAGCTTGGCTAACATGGTGAAACCCCATCTCTACTAAAAATAAAAATTATCAGGCATGATGGTGGGCACCTGTAATCCCAGCTACTTGGGAGGCTGAGTCAGGAGAACCGCTTGAGCCCGGGAGGTGGAGGTTGCAGTGAGCCGAGATCACACCACTGCACTCTGGCTTGAACAACACAGTGAGACTTTGTTTAACGACAACAACAATTCGTTTTTCATCGCATGGAAGATGCTAAAAAGAATAAACATCACTTAATTTTCTCTTTGTTTCCATTTGATCAGCCATGGATTGTTATAAAACTTCACCAAGCAATTCCTGGATTTACCCCACTGTGATCCTCTGCATGTTTGGATTTTTCTCCATGATGAGACCCTCAGAACCATTTCTTATCCCATATTTATCTGGACCAGATAAAAACCTGACCAGTGCAGAGGTAAGTGAACATATATACGTATCTTAATGTGTGTGTTTATGTTTTAGTTTTACAGGACTTGAACAAGGATTCAGGGCTTCACTCAACTTGAAATAAGAGGAATACATTGAGCTTAATGAGCCTGATTTTTATAATATTTGTCATATAATAGAACTTTTCAAACTATTTTCCCTTCATACTTGCAAAAAATTGCAGCTAAAGCACATGACATGTGTTATCAGATTTTTGACTTGCATAGAGTTCTAACATTTGTGTTAATGATGAGAACCTCCCAGGTCTCCATTGATTCTATTATACTAATCCTAAAACAGCATCACTCTCAGGCACAGGATCTAGATCTAAATAAACTCACAGGCTGCTAATAAGCAGGATCTCATAAAGAACTGTGGTATTTCTTTATGACACCATTTACCAGCAGGTGAGCCCTTAACAGCTTTATCTCCCAGCCCCCGCCTCCTTCTCTGGAATGCCAGATTCTCTTTTTTTTTTTTTTTTTGAGATGGAGTTTCGCTCTTGTTACCCAGGTTGGAGTGCAATGGTGCGATCTCAGATCACCGCAACCTCCGCCTCCTGGGTTCAGGCAATTCTCCTGCCTCAGCCTCCTGAGTAGCTGGGATTACAGGCAGGCGCCACCATGCCCAGCTAATTTTTTGTATTTTTAGTAGAGATGGGGTTTCACCATGTTGACCAGGATGGTCTCGATCTCTTGACCTCGTGATCCACCCGCTTCGGCCTCCCAAAGTGCTGGGATTACAGGTGTGAGCCACCACGCCCAGCCCCAGATTATCTTACTTAAAAGATCAACGCCTTTCTTTTTTCTTTTTTCTCTTTTTTTTTCTGAGATGGAGTCTTACTCTGTGTCGCAGGCTGGAGTGCAATGGCATGATCTCGGCTCACTACAACCTCCGTCTCCCAGGTTCAAACGATTCTCCTGCCTCAGCCTCCCAAGTAGCTGGGACCACAGGCATGACCCTCATACCCAGCTAATTTTTGCATTTTTAGTAAAGACAGGGTTTCACCATGTTGGCCAGGCTGATCTTGAACTCCTGGCCTCAAGAGATCCACCCGTCTTGGCCTCCCAAAGTGCTGGGGTTACAGGCATGAGCCACCACCCCTGGCCTCATATTTCTTTATAACAAATACAACAAGAAAATGCACTGACCTAACGGCAAAACTACCCTGGGCTGATTTTACAATCTCCAGCCTTAGCCTTGACAACACTATGTAAATTGTGTGGCTTCATCTACAAGGCTAATTGGTGCCTCCGGTGGTGAGGTGGCAAGGACAGAAAGGCAAGCTTATTCTGTAGTATCAGATCACTTAGGGACAGCCCTGTTTCAGAGTTTCTCAGGTTGAAGCATGCCACAATTAAGACAACAAAGAACAGATGCAGGAGCAGAAGCAACTCAATGAATCCATGGGGGTCTGCTTCTGCAGCAACTATGGACCAGTTAATAGACCCTCCCTCCACGGAGCAGCTCAGCTGTGTGGTCTTTGCTCTGTGCCCTCCAACTTTCTCCAGCAACCTCAGTGATACGGGTGTCAAGGTGGGTAAGTTCAGTGATTTGAGAGGCTGCTGCACTCACCCATCATGCCCCACAGATCAGCAATGCCAGTCCTTCCTACTATGAAAATTAAGATTCCCATGCATTTCTGTCTAAATGCCTCAGATGACCCATCTTAAATTGAGGCACAGACAAATCAGCAGAATTGTTAGGGGGAGCAGGGGGAAGGTTGGGAACCTAGCACATTTGCCCAGGAAGGAAAATGAGGTATATTACTTGCTTCCAGTCTGTAATTTGGCAAAGTTATTTACTCTTTCCTTGTCTTCCCATATCTTTCCAAACATTGGAAGGGCTGAAATGTTTGATGCAGTGATAGGTCACACAAAAATAAAGGCTGTTGGATTCTTTTAACATCGTAGTCTTATCTAATATTAATATTTGAACAAGAAGAAACGGTATTTTTTTAAGAATCTGAAAAACTTAGAAGCATCCAAAAACTTTTTAACTCATCTACTCACTCACCTGTACATGCTATTTTTTTTTTTTTTTTTGAGACAGAGTTTCACTCTTGTCCAGGCTGGAGTGCAATGGTGCAATCTTGGCACACCACAACCTCCACTTCCCGGGTTCAAGCAATTCTCCTGCCTCAGCCTTCAGAAGTAGCTGGGATTACAGGCATCTGCCACCATGCCCAGCTAATTTTTTTGTATTTTTTAGTAGAGACGGGCTTTCACCATGTTGACTAAGTGAGTCTTGAACTCCTAACCTCAGGTGATCCATCCGCCTCAGCCTCCCAAAGTGCTGGGATTACAGGCATGAGCCACCACACCCGGCCTGTACCTACTATGTAAACTTAATATATAATTCTTATTGCACACTAAGCCAATATATTCTTCTACTGGGATATATCTAAGTGTATAAATTAGTTGGTTTTTACCAATGGGAAAGGAGACTATCTTTTCTTAGTGATTTCCTTGAAAATTGGTTTTCTCGTTATGTTTCTCCATAATGCAAATAATTTCCCATTGGATGCAGAATTTGAGGTACAAAGCACAGGTACCTTAGTAAAGTACTAGCACGTGTCATGCAGTTTACCACCATTGCAGCTGACAAATGAGATCTTCCCCGTTTGGACATACTCCTACCTGGTGCTGCTGCTGCCTGTGTTTGTCCTCACCGATTATGTCCGCTACAAGCCAGTCATCATCTGCCAAGGCATTAGCTTCATCATTACCTGGCTGCTGCTCTTGTTTGGCCAAGGAGTGAAGACCATGCAGGTTGTAGAGTTCTTCTACGGAATGGTCACTGCTGCCGAGGTGGCCTACTATGCCTACATATACAGTGCGGTCAGCCCTGAGCACTATCAGAGAGTGAGTGGCTACTGCAGGAGCATCACGCTGGTCGCCTACACAGCAGGGTCCGTGCTGGCCCAACTCTTGGTATCCCTGGCGAACCTGTCGTACTTTTACCTCAACGTCATATCCTTGGCTTCTGTCTCCGTAGCCTTCATTTGCTCACTTTTCCTACCAATGCCCAAGAAGAGCATGTTTTTTCATGCAAAACCTAGCAAAGAAAGAAAGAAGTCATCAAGCGTGAGTGCAGTATTAGAGGAAACTCATGAAGGTGAAGCACAGGGCTGTGAAGAGCAGAAACCCACATCAGAAATGCCCAGCACCTCAGGGAAGCGGAATGACTGCCAGCCAAACAGCCTGAAACCAGGCAATGTGACTTTGGAAGTTTTTGTGCAGTGGTTCCAAGATTTGAAGGAGTGCTACTCCTCAAAACGTCTTTTGTATTGGTCTCTGTGGTGGGCGTTCGCTACAGCAGGTTTTAACCAGGTTGTGAACTATGTTCAAATCCTGTGGGATTACAAGGCACCATCCCAACTTTCTTCCATTTATAATGGGGCAGTAGAAGCTATTGCAACCTTTGGAGGTAAGCAAATGTCACTTTCTCTTCCTCTGTTGACTTTACCACCTTAAGCCCATTTCTCAAGGTACTGAACCTCATGGCAGCAAATTAGGCTCTGTTCAGAAGGCAGAATAACTGTTTTCAATCAAAAATGAAAGTCACTGGAAAAATAAGAAAACCATGACTTTCTACTGTGTTGTAGTTACAACAGGTAACTCTTAGGAGCTCAGGACTTAGCACCAAACCACGAAATTCTAGTTGAATCCCTAAGATTCCAATTCATCATTGGCACAAGGGTTAATAGCATGCCCTGTTCTTTTAGCATTATTTTTAATATCAAAATATGTAAATATATGTGTGTATGTTTTTATTATTTTAGAAAACAAATTAAGGATTCCAAATTCTCACTGAGAGTCTTGTTAACACAGGATTTGAACTAACTAGGATGCACCTATAATAATTGTAGGCTATATACCAGCAACTTTCAAAAGCAGCTTTCTCACGATATTTAAATGAGGGGTGGAAGAGTTGTGTAAGTCAGGATTTTAATATCAGAAAGAAATCTCTTTTTGAAGTTTAATCTACAATAAATATTTATTTCCTAGTAAATGGAAGCTTAAATGTCAAATGAGACTTTGAAGATATTTTTAGGAAGTGAGAATTTGCCCCACCCTCATTTACAAAAAGTTTTAGAAGAAATTCATGTCACCTTCATTGTACTATTGTCCCCCTTTTGGAAACCTTCGATTTAACTCCTGAAAACCAGGACTGTGCCAGAATTGCTTCGCTGAAATTACTGCTCCCATATTCCAAATTTGTCGGGGGAAAATAGTTTTTTTTGTTTTCCTTTGTAGTCATGATCATATGTGGGAAAGCTAATAAAATGTTAGCGTAGTAATTTGAAATCTAAATACCTTTTTAAAAATTTATTTATTTATTTTAGACAGAGTCTTGCTTTGTCACTTAGGCTGGAGTGCAGTGGCACGATCTCAGCTCATTGCAACCTCTCTGCCTCCCGGGTTCAAGTAATTCTCCTGCCTCAATCTCCCAGATAGTTGGAATGACAGGCGCACTCCACCACACTGATTTTTGTATTTTTGTAGAGACGAGGTTTCACCATGTTGACCAGGCTAGTGTCTAACTCCTGACCTCAGGTGATCCTCCCTCCTCGACCTCCCAAAGTGCTGGGACTACAGGAGTGTGCCACTGTGCTGTGCCCTAAATACCTTTTATTTTTGTTAAAGAGAACAGCACGTACTACCCCTAATTACTGTCAATTATTCAATTTCTTGAACTCTGTAAGTCAATATAGATGTTTTCACCCAAAGCTTCTCAAGTAAATTAGGTCAGATGTTGAAGACTTGAGGGTAGAGATTGGAAATAAGACTAAGATTACTTTTTTTTTTTTTTGAGACAAAGTTTTGCTCTTGTTGCCCAGGCTGGAGTGCAATGGCATGATCTCGGCTCACCACAACCTCCAGCCTCCTGGGTTCAAGCTATTCTCCTGCCTCAGCCCCCACAAGTAGCTGGGATTACAGGCATATGTCGCCACACCCAGCTGTATATATATATATGTGTGTATTTTTTGTATTTTTAGTAGAGACAGGGTTTCTCCATGTTGGTCAGGCTGGACTTGAACACCCGACCTCAGGTGATCCACCTGCCCGGGCCTCCCAAAGTGCTTGGATTACAGGCATGAACCACCATGCCTGGTCTAAGATTACTAAAGATTAAAAATAAAGACTAAAACTGGGTGGAACAAGGAAAAAAGACTAAAACTATTATTGCAACACATCTAGTACTCATCACTGAAAAAGACTTACAACAAAACTGAGAAAAGAAAGGCAAATAGGCCAGGTGTATTCCCAGAGAACTTATTTCATCTTTTTCCATTCCCGCACGTTGTTTTGAGTGACTGGGTTAATGCATCATTCCTCCCCACGCTGCTGTGGTTAGGAATCTTTCTGGCCCCTCTGCAGAGTACAGTGCCTGGTATGTAGCTGATACATACCACAGTAAAAAGTGTGATGACTAAATGGCCAAAAAAATAGCAAGTGAAAAGAAAAGCCAAAAGAAAACATGATTGAGGAAAGGATAGATCCACATTCAGGTCCATCACGCGATTTTGCGAAGGCAATATATTCATCTTTTAGAATTACCCGAGACCTGGGTTATTAAGAGAGGGTGTTGATACTTCTTGCATGTGAAGTCATTATATTTGATTGTCTTCAGTGTTTCTTTTTCAGGGGCTGTGGCTGCCTTTGCAGTGGGTTTTGTGAAAGTCAACTGGGACCTTCTGGGAGAGCTGGCTCTGGCGGTCTTCTCAGTTGTCAATGCCGCTTCTCTATTGCTCATGCATTACACAGCCAACATCTGGGCATGCTACGCTGGCTATTTGATATTCAAGTCAAGCTATATGCTTCTTATAACCATAGCAGCGTAAGTTTTACCAACCACTCCTAAAACTGAACAGTATTCCACTCTCTTCTGTCTTCCTGAACTTTCTCTAAGAATTTCAGAAGGATTTTAGTCAATTGCAATATTAAATGTTGACTACTTTTCATTAAATTAGACACAACTAAGCCAGCTTTTCATTTAACTATTTGCTCTCTGAACATTGCTACAACATACATTTAGTCATCAAGGTAAGAAAGCTCTGTAGGTTTATAAATCAAAAGCGATGATACATTGTCAGGTTTTTCTTTTTATTTTGTTTTGTTTGAGACATCCTCTTGCTCCGTTGCCCAGACTGAAGTGCAGTGGTGCGATCACGGCTCAATGAAGCCTTGACTTCCCAGGCTCAGGTGAGTCTCCAACCTCAAACTCCTGAGTAGCTGGGACAACAAGCATGTGCCATCATGCCTAGCTAATTTTTTGTATTTTGTAGAGATGGGATTTCACCATGTTGCTCAGGGTGATCTCAGACTCCAGCGCTCAAGTGATCCACCTGCCTTGGCCTCCCAAAGTGCTGGAATTGCAGCTGTGAGCCACCATATCCAGCACCATTGTCAAGTTTTGATTTATTTCCATCAGTTTTCCACATGAGATGTGACATCATCTGCTTTTAAATAGTTAGGCTTAGATTTCATCCCTACTTTCATTTGGTTACTTGTGAAATTCTAGGCACAGACTTTTGTGACACAAAAGATTCTCAGAAAAGTTATTTACAAGTTGGATATAAAAAAAAGTAGATGCAAAGATAACAAGAAACCTTTAGCTGCAGTCATATATGGAATCAAGTAGTTTTTCTTTTCTTTCTTTCTGAGACAGGGTCTCACCCAGGCAGGAGTGCAATGACACAATCACAGCACACCACAACCTTGATCTCCTGGGCTCAAGCAGTCCTCCCACCTCAGCCTCCTGAGTAGCTGAGACTACCAGTGCACACCATCATGCCTAGCTAATTTTTTTTAAATTTTCATTTTTGTAGAGACAGAGTGTCACTATGTTGCCCAGATTGGTCTCAAACTCAAGTAATTGGTTCCAAGCTCAAGTAATCCGCTGGCTTCAGCCTCTGAAAGTGGTAGGATTATAGGTGTGAGCCACTATGCCAGGTCTAGTTTTTAATTATTTTCTAAAAATGATTTCTGAGATTTAGAGTTTCCCATTATTTTTGCTTCTATTTTCTCTTTAAGAAAATGATTTAAAAACCATCTTGTTTCATATGTAAGTACAGCTAAAGCTGACTGCAGAAAATATGCTTTGCTATTAACCAAAAAAGGTGAGAAACACTTGAATTTCAAATTGCATGAAAGAGGTGGAGACAAAAGCTTCAACAAGTTTTGCTTTTAATTTGTGAAAAAAAATGTTTCATAAACAATTCACAACACAGAAATATGAGCACTCCGAAAAAAATCATCTGACAAAGGAAAAAAAATTAGTTGATATGTTTATTTTCTTCACAGAAGTGTTTCAGATTAATAAATCAAAATAATTTATCTTGGGTTGCTTTTTTTTAATGTGAGGAGTTTGTTAAAGTAGGATTATACCATTTCTTTGGATTAAAAAAAATATTCATTGCTGGGCATGGTGGCTCACGCCTGTAATTCCAGCACTTTGGGAGGCCAAGGCAGGTGAATCACCTGATGTCAGGAGTTCGAGACCAGCCTGGCCAACATGGTAAAACCTCATATCAACTAAAAATACAAAAATTAGCTGGGCATGGTGGTGAGTGCCTGTTATCCCAGCTACTGGGGAGGCTGAGGCAAGAGAATCACTTGAACTCGGGAGGCGGAGATGCACATTCTCAACAGCATTTATTGTCTTTTGGATAAAAGCCATCTTAATTGAACTGAGATAATATCTCATTGTAGTTTTGATTTACGTTTCTCTAATCAATGACGTTGAGCACCTTTTCATATACCTGTTTGGCATTTGTATGTCTTTAAAGATACATCTATTCTTTTGCTCATTTTTAACCTGATTATTAGATTTTTTTCCCCTATAAACTCGTTTGAACATCTTAGATAGTCTGGTTTTGATCCCTTGTCATATGGGGAGTTTGCAGTTTTCCCTTCTGTCAGTTGCCTGTTTCCTTGGCTGTGCAGGAGCTTTTTAACTTGATGTGATCTCATTTGTCCATTTTTGCTTTGGTTGCCTGTGTTTGTGGGATACTTAATAAATCTTTGCCCACTCTAATGTCACAGAAAGTTTCCCCAATGTTTTCTTGTAGTCGTTTCATAATCTGAGGTCTTAGATTTAAGTCATGAATCCATTTTGACTTGATTTTGTATAAGGTGAGAGATAAGGGTCTACTTTCATTCATTCTTCTTCATATGGATATCTAGTTTTCCCAGCACCATTTATGGAAGAGACTGTCTTTTCCCCAATGTATGTTCCTGGCACCTTTGTTCAAAATGAGTTTACTGTAGGTTTGTGGGTTCACTATTGGATTTCTGGGTTCACTCTTCTGTTCCATTGGTCTAAATGTCTGTTTTTATGCCAGAACTATGCTGTTTTGGTTACTATAGCTCTGTAGTATAATTTAAAGTCAGGTAATGTGATTCCTCCAGTTTTGTTTTTTTGTTGTTGTTTTGTTTTGCTTAGGATATCTTTGGCTATTCTGGGTCTTCTGTGGTTTCATATAAATTTTAGAATTCTTTTTTCTGTTTCTTTGAATACTATCATTGGCATTTTGATAATTGCATTGAATCTGTAGATTGTTTTGGATAGTATGGGAATTTTAACAATATTGATTCGTCCAGTCCATGAATATGGAGTATCTTTCAATTTGTGTGTGTGTGTGCTCTCTTCAATTTCTTGTAACAGTGTTTTATAGTTTTCATTGTAAAGATCTTTCACTTCTTTAGTTAATTCTTAGGTATTTTATTTTATCTGTAGCCATTGTAAATAGGCTTACTTTCTTGCTTTCTTTTTCAGATTGTTCTCTGCATATAGAAATGTTACTAAGTTTTGTATGTTGATTTTATGTCCTGCAAATATATTGATCTTATTTATTCATTCTAAATAAATATTCTTATTGGTAAGAGTCTTTAAGTTTTCCTAAATGTAAGATTATATCATCTGCAAACAAGGATAATTTGACTTCAGCCTTTCCAATGTGGATACCTTTATTTCTTTCTCTTGTCTGATTGCTCTAGATAAGACTTCCAGTGATATGTTGAATAGAGGTGTAAAAGTGGGCATCCTTGTCATCTTCCAAATCTTAGAGAGTAAAGCATTTCAGTTTTTTCCCATTCAGTCTGAAACTAGCTATGGGTATGTCATATATGGTTTTTATTATGTTGAGTATGTTCCTTATATACCCAGTTTTTTTAGGGCATTTATCATGAAGGGATGTTGAACTGCATCAAATCTTTCTTTAGCATCAATCAAATGATCATAGTTTCTGTCCTTCATTCTGTTGATGTGATGTATCACATTGATTGATTTGCATACGTTAAATGATCCTTGCATCCCTGGGATAAATCCCACTTAGTCATGATAGATGATCTTTCTAATGTATTGTTGAATTCAATTTGCTAGTATTTTGTTGAGGATTTTTGCATCAATATTCTTCAGAGACTGACCTGTACTTGTTTTTTGTTTTTAATGTGTCTTTGGTTTTGGTGTTAGGGTAGAATGAGTTTGGAAGTATTCCCTCCTCTGTTTTTTGGAATAGTAGGCTTTTATAGAATTGAGCAGTGAAGCCATTGGGTCCTGGGCTTTTCTTTAGTGGGAGGCTTTTTATTATGACTTCAATCTCATTACTTGTTGTTGGTCTGCTCAGGTTTTGGATTTCTTCATGGTTCAATCTGGGTAGTTTGTTTGTACCTAGGAGTTCATCCATCTCTTCTAGATTTTCCCATTTATTGCATACACTTGCTCATAGTAGCCACTGATGATCCTTTGAATTTCTGCAGTATTGGTTGTAATGTCTCTAGTTTTATTTACTTGGGTCTTCTCTCTTTTTCTTAGTTTGGCTAAAGGTTTGTCAATTTTATCTTTTTAAAAACTCAACTTGTTTCATTGACCTTTTGTATTGTTTTCTTCATTTCAGTTTCATTTATTTCTGCTCTGATGTTTATTATTTCTTTCCTTCTACTAATTTTAGGTTAGGTTTACCCTTGCTTTCCTATTTCTTCAAGATGTGTCACTAGGTTATTTACTTGAGGTTTTTCTTCTTTTTTTTTGAGCTAGAATCTCACTGTGCTGCCCAGGCTGGAGTGATGGAGTGAACTATTGTGATCTCTACTCATTACAACCTCTGCCTCCTGTGCTCAAGTGATCCTCCTGCCTCAGACTCCTGAGAAGCTGAGACCACAGTGTGTACCATGACAGCTGGCCATTTTTTTGTATTTTTGATAGAGATGGGGTTTCACCATGTTGCCCAGGCTGGTCTAGAACTCCAGAGCACAAGTGATTCATCTGCCTCAGCCTTGCAGAATGCTGGAATTACACACATGGGCCACCACACCCAGCCTCTCTCCTTTTTTATGTAGGCACTTGTAGCTGTAAACTTCCTTCTTAGTACTGTTTTCACTGTGTCCTGTAGGTTTTGGCATGTTGTGTTTCCATTATCATTTGTTTCAAGAAATTTTTCAGTTTCTCTCAATTTCTTCACTGACTCACTGGTCATTCGGGGCATATTGTTTAGTTTCCATATGTTTTTACAGTTTCCAAAATTCCTCTTGTTGTTGATTTCTAGTTTTATTCTATTGTGGCCAGAGACAATCTTTAATATTAATTATTTCCAGTTTTTGAATGTGTTTTAAGAGTTGTTTTGTGATCTAACATGTCTGTTTAGTTTGTTTGGTGAGAACATGTTTTCCCGGATGAGCTTGATGCTATGGATGTTCATCAGTGTCAGAGCATTGAAGAGTTGTGTTTATCATAGTCTTTGCTGTCTGGGCTTTTTTGTACCTGTCCTCGTTGGGAAGGCTTTCCAGGTATTCAGAAGGATTTGGGTGTTCTGATCTACACCAAATCTACATTAGGGAGCACCCCAAGCCAAGTAACACTGTGGTTCTAGAAGACTCTTAGAGGTACTGCTTTGGTGGTCTTGGATAAGATCCAGAAGAATTCTCTGGATTACCAGACAGAGACACTTGTTCTTTTCCCATACTTTCTCCCAGACAATCTCTCACTCTATCTTTGCTGGACTACCTGGAGCTGGAGGTGGGTGACACAAATACCCCTGTGGCCACTATTTCTATTTTTTAAGACTTCCACGCATGTGTATTATTATTATTAAAATGCTTATGTTTAACGATAGATTTCAGATTGCAGTTAATCTGAGTGTGGAACGCTATGCCCTGGTATTTGGAATCAATACCTTTATTGCCTTGGTGATTCAGACCATCATGACTGTGATTGTAGTAGATCAGAGAGGGCTCAACTTGCCAATCAGCATTCAGGTAAGCTGCAATACTTCTGTTTTCAACTAGGTCACCTCAAAGATTTCTCAACCTTACAACAAGTAATATTTAAATTTCTGAATTCCTTGGTTAAGCAAACTTAAAAATATATACAATACCTTAATTATTGTATTATAACACACCAAGTAGGTTTTAAGCAATAATTGCATCTAAGACAACATTTACCTGGATAAGGCAGGTAAAAAGCAACCTCATTGCTTAAATTTATTCTTGGAGACATTGACTACAGCATTCCACTGGCCTCGAAACAAAGACATAGAGATAGCTCAATGAGATTTAGTGTTTTTCTGTTTTGTTTTGTTTTTTACTATTGATGACAGTAGCTATGATTTTAACCCAAGCAACCTGCTCTGAAGCCAAGACTCTTAGTCACTGTATTACTTACATTTTCTTACTTGATAGGAGAGTATTGTTCAACCTAAATGACCCATATTTAAAAACCCGGGTCTCAGTTACCCCATAATCCAAGCAAACCAACAGTATCATGACATATTATCATTGACATAGATGGGCATATTTTATATGTGGCTAATTATTCGTTTTTCTCCAGTTTTTAGTATATGGGAGCTATTTTGCAGTAATTGCTGGAATTTTCTTAATGAGAAGCATGTATATTATCTACGCAACCAAATGCCAGAAGGATCTACAGAGCCCGGCTCCAAATGAGAAACCAGATGGGTCACACCCAGAGGAAGAGAGTAATATCATGTCAATAAAACTCTAACTTCATTGCATCAACTGCAGCAGTAGCTTTCACAGTTATGCAACAATAGCGAAGGATTTGAGATGGGTGGCATATGTTTTGCCATAACTTGACATGCCTTTGCAAATCTGGATTCCAATGGGCCTTTCAAAACCACAACAAAACTTCAGTTTTAGATGAGTTCTCCATGTGCCCAATTTTACTGGATGCAATTGACAGGACCCATCATCACAATTAAACAACCCATATTGGGGACCTCCTGTGACTAGTAGCAACTGGAAAATTCTGGGTTTTATCACTTGTAAGGACATGCAGATGGCATGGAACCAAACCACAAGAAAACCACAGCCATCCTAGAGGTGATATTCATCATTTGTGAGGAGAAATACTAGCTGTACTGATGCTCTTGCTTGGCTTAAATACTTGTTTGATTTTACCAAAGAAGTCAACACCTGGGACATTTTTGTCACACAAGCCATTTTCTTTCCTCTTCTAATAAGTATATTTCTGTTTAAGTTACAGTTCTCTAAGAGAATTACAAGGTTTGTCCCGCTTCTAAGGGCTTCTCTTCAACTCTGATAACTGCATTATTCACAAGTTATACTTTGATCGTGTTATCATTAAATTTTTTAATGATTATTTTTCATTTTGTGTTCTGAGTTTTGCTGCTGAAAGTCTACCTCAAGCATAGCTCCAGATCCTCTTGTGTGTTTTCAGAATGACACTTGGGTCATTTCTCAGTGGCCTGGGAGAAGCAGTGAGCCTTCTCTCCACCTTGATCCTATAGAGGTGTTAATGCATCTATGGGCCAGGTATGGTGGCTCACTCCTGTAATCCCAACAATTTGGGAGGCCAAGGTGAGAGTTTTGCTTGAGGCCAGAGGTTCAAGACCAGTCTGGGCAACACAATGAGACCTGACTCTACTAAAAAATTAAACCATTAGCTGGGCAGCATGGTGTGTGCCTGTAGCCCAGCTACTTCGGAGGCCATGGTGGGAGGATGGCTTGAGCACAGCCATCAGAGGCTGCAATGAGTTATGATTGTACCACTGCACTCCAGCCTGGGGAACAGAGTAAGACTCCCATCACCCCCTCCCCCCCCAAAAAAAGAGCACCTATGTGATGTCTATCTAAAACAGGAAAGCTTAAAGGAGGTTTCTAGAAGTACTAGAAATAAGAAAACATGGATGGAAAGAGTGCGTGGAATAAAACACCTGATTTTTTTTTTTTTTTGAGACGGGGTCTCACTTTCTCACCCAGTCTGGAATGCAATGGCCCGATCTTGGCTCACTGCAAACTCCACCTTCTGGGTTCAAGGCATTCCCCTGCCTCAGCCTCCCAAGCAGCTGGGACTATGGGTATGCACCATGCCAGGCTAATTTTTGTATTTTTAGTAGAGATGGGGTTTCACCATGTTGGCCAGGCTGGTCTCGAGCTCCTGACCTCAGGTGATCTGCCCATCTCTGCCTCCCAAAGTGTTGGGATTACAGGTGTGAATCACCTCACCTGCTCTATTATCCTTCTTTTTTAACTTATTATACTGGAGGTATTAGACATCACAATTAGACAAGCAAAGAAAATCAGAAGTCAAAAAGTGGAAAGGAGGCAAGGCGCAGTGGCTCACACCAGTCATCTCAACACTTTGGGAGGCTGAGGTGGACAGACCACATGAGGCTAGGAGTTGGAGGCAAGCCTGGGCAACATGGAGAAAATCCATATGTACTGAAAATATGAAAATTATTCAGGTGTGGCACATGCCTGTAATTCTAGCTACTCAAAGGCTGACACACAAGAATCACTTGAACTTGGGAGGCAGAGGTTGCCATGAGCTGAGATTGTGCCACTGCACTCCAGCCTGAGTGAGACCTGTCTCCTAAAACAAAACGAAACAAAAGGCCAGGTGTGGCGGCTTACGCCTGTAATCCCAGGACTTTGGTGGGGGCTGAGGCAGGCAAATCATTTGAGGTCAGGAGTTCAAGACCAGCCTGGCCAACATGGTGAAACCCCATCTCTACTAAAAACATAAAAAATCAGCTGGGCATGGTGGTGAGCATCTGTAATCTAATCCCAGCTACTTGGGAGGCCAAGGCAGGAGAATTGTTTGAACCCTGGACACAGAGGTTGCAGTGAACCAAGATCTCGCCACTGCACTCCAGCCTGGGCGAAAAAGTGAGACTCCATTTCAAAAACAACAAAAAATAACCCACAAGTCTTTGGAGATTTTAGACTATGATAAAGGTAGCACCTCATAAAAGGAGGGAAAATATAGACTAATAAGATAGAAACAATTTGGTGGGGGGAGGACATAATGCGGACTCAAACCTGCAATAATGACTGTTAAACTACAAAAGTACTAGAGAAAAACGTAAGTTATTTTATAGCCTCAAAACTTTTTAAAGCAAAATAATTCCTAGAGGTCATAAAAGAAAAAATGTCAGTAGCATGAGGCAGGATAATTGCTTGAACCCAGGAGGCAGAAGTTACAGTGAGCAGAGATCGCACCATTGCATTCCACCAGCCTGGGTGACAGAGTGATGCTCCGTTTCAAGGAAAAAACAAAAAAAAAAAAAACCGAAACTTACGCATGAAAGAACAAACATAGCAAAGCCGAAAGACAGATTATCATCTGGGAGAAATATTGCAGCTCACATCAGTACCACAAGCTACTTTTTCTAATTTGTAAAGAACCAATACAAATTGGTTAAAAAAAGAAGAGATATCAACAGCCTAATAGAAAAATGAGCAAAGGACATGAACAGGGAATTCAGAGAAAGGAAAATACTAGTTGCTTAGAGATGTAAAAGATGCTTCAATTTACTCATACAGCAAATTAAAACTACACAGATATGCCATTTTTCACCTATCAGACTGGAAAATATTCCAAAAGTCTAACAATACACTCTTCTCCAGGAGTAGGTTAACATATGTTAACCTCAAAGCAGTCTCAAAGATTGTTGGTGGGAGTGTAATTCATTTCATTGCTATGAAGGAAAATCTGTCATTCTCAAAATTGCAAATGTATGCATCTTTAAACGTACCCATTTCTTCTCTGGAAACATGTACACTACCTGCATGCCTGCGAACTGACTTCTAGAGAAGGTCTTTCATTACAGTATTGTTTCTAAGAACACAGAATTGGAAACAATTTAAATTTCAATGAAAGGGGACAAAAATGCATTATGATTCATTCCCATATTGACCTATAACAAAATTAACTGCTAAAACATGAGGAAGATCTTTAAATAGTGGCACAGAACTCTAAGAGCTCTACTATCAAGTGGAAAAAGGTCCAGCACCAAAGTAATAATGAATGCAGCAATTCAGCATTTGTATAAAAAGGAGAAAAAGATTTGTATTGCCTTATATATGCATATAACTTGCCTAAAAAGACAAATGAGGCCGGACACAGTGGCTCACACCTATAATCCTATCACTTTGGGAGGCTGAGTCAGGTGGATTGCTTGCACTCAGGATTTCAAGACCAGCCTGGACAACATGGTAAAACCCTGTCTCTAGAAAAAATACAAAAATAGCCAGGCATAGTGGCTCACACCTGTACTCCTAGCTCCTTGAAGGGCTGAGAAGGGAGAATTGCTTGAGCCCAGGAGGTGGAGGTTGCAGTGAGCTGAGATCATGCCGCTGCACTCCAGCTTGGATGACAGAGTAAGACCCTGTCACAAATAAGTAAATAATAAACAAACAAACAAATGAAACTAATGCCAGTGATTGCCTGCTGTAGTGTAATGGGAAATGGGAGGGAGATATCACATTCTCATGGCGTTTGATGCTTGTACAAACTGAATTAACTACCACTAAATTAAAATACTACTTTTACAAAAAAGTATTTAATCTCTTGGGAAATAAATTCACATTGAAAAATAAGGAGCTGGAGATTTGCTATGCAGCCATTATGATGGTTTAATTATTTTGGCAATGTGAATTGATTACTAAATGTGCATTTATAATTAAAGGGAACAAACAACAGAAGAAAGAAATAAGTAGGCCTGGTCCAGAATGGTGGCTTGTGCCTGTAATCCCAGCACTTTGGGAGGCTGAGGTGTGAGGATCGCTTGAGCCCAGGAATTCAAGACCACCAAGGGCAACATAGTGAGACCCCATCTCAAAAACATTAATAATACTAAGTAGACCTGACATTGATACCTTAAATTAAAATTTTTATTTGGTATCTCATTAATGAAATTTTTGTTTTAAATAACGACCCATCCTGTAAGTACCAGTCACTTTAGGGTGTCATTTCCTCAATCAGGAA